GATGCCTCTGAAATGGAGGGGAGGAGCTTGTTCTTCCACCACCCCACTGTTCCCTTACTCTGGCCTAAACCCTGCACTGATCTGTCCTGCTCAGCCTGAGGCCTGGCTTACAGCCAGGGCTCCCTCCCCTGGGACAAAAAAGACAGATGAGATCATGTTTTTTAGGCAGATTAATCTCACATTGCTTGTTGCTGGCCAAAGACCATTTTTAACATCTTCTGCCAATACCCTGTTGCCTAAATATCTGACATCTGATCCAGAACAAAACATTCCTCCATTCCTAGTGCCGTTAAGCAACCTTATATACAAAGAAGTGTAAAGCTACTCCCTGCTAAGTCCATTAAAACCAGGAGAAGCTTCTTTTCTTAATCGGGGATCACAGAGCATCCCTGCCAGCCTGGCATCCTTTGGAAGGATGTTTCTAAGAAGCACTCATTTAGCAACTCTCTTATTAATCCCAAAACATCTTTCCCTTAAAATCTCTCTGCCCACACTCCCACAGTCCAGCTGGTCCATTCATCCAGTCACGCCAGGCAGCAAAGCCACCTGCCATGAGACCACAGGAGAGATCTCTGTGGTGCCAGTTCTCTCTTTCCTGGGCTCCTTATCCCTTCTTTGCCTACCTTCCAGCACTCAACAAACTGGCAGGGGGGTCTGTCAGGTGTCTGAACTTGCTCCAATGATGAGGATAATGCCAAAGCCGACCTCTGCAGGCAGCCCTGCACACAAGGCACACACGTGGCTCTCACCACTTAGCAAGAAACATGGCCAGGAGTGGGGGAGAGCAGGATAACCATGTGAACAAGCTCCCTGTCGTTATTTCTGGGGGCTAAAGAAACCACTGGGGACACAACAGCCCTGTGCCAACAGACCTGCATCAAATGGTGTGGTCAGGAAAGTGATGCAACGTAGGATAAATTTATCTTATGTGGTCAGCAAAATTTTCTTTTGCCCACGGAACAAACAGACACCCCTAGAGAAGAGGCAGCTGTGGACAGAAAAAGGCAGGAGATGGAAACATACCCTGAAGTCCCGTGGGGCTCTGGTGGTTTGTAAGTTCTCTGGGCTGTAGAGAAAACAGGTCAGGCTTTGGAAACCTCCTCTGGAACAAAATTACACTGCAGGGAGGAAGAAACAGGCCTGAAGGTCAAGCACCCTTGAGGTATCCCTTCAGCTTGGGGATCTCTGGAGAGCAGCAGGGACAACCATTCCAACAGCAGTTACTCTGCTGGTGAAAGAGAAAGTGAAACCAATGATACAAGTATGGGGTTGAGCAAAACCGGGACAAGATCTCTGCTTCCTTACCCCAGAGCACAGGCAGCTAATCCCATGTTTAGTGGTTGTTAGATCTTCAGTGAAGCCTAGAACAAGTCACCTTCTAGCTGTGGGAGACAAAGCACAACCCACATGACTGTGCCAAGCTGTCAGGTGCAGAGACACCAATAACTTCAGCTGGTCTCTATAAAGCCATTTCCCTTCTCGTGGCTTGCCACAGTCAGCTTTCTGCAGAGTTGGGAATACCCTACAACACCAGCAGTTGCCCAAACAATGGAAAAGGTAATGCTGGGAAGCACCCTGTGTTAGAGAGAAGCTGGAAGGATGGAGAGTTGGATGTAGAACTCTCCAGCCCTCCAGTCCTCACCAACTGAGTGTGCCAACGAGGCCCCTCTCAGCTTCCTTCCATGGGCTTTTGGTCCAGGAACAGGCATTCCAGTTGTGGGCAGGTATTTGAATGCTTAGCCAAGGAAACTTTGCAGTAATGAATGATCTAGTAACAGAATTAAACCCACATTTGTACTTACCCCACAGGGTCAAGGTGTTTTTTCGTGGTTTTTTTGAGATTTTTTTTCTGCTATTATTTATTGGGAAACCCCTCCTTACACCCGACACTTGGTGCATCCTTTCAAAGAAGCCTCCAATGCTTTGCTACATCCTCCAAAGAGGTGCTTGCTTTCCACCTACTAACTGCATTAAGCACAACTGTTCCTTTCATACACCTAGACTGGGGCAGAGATTTTATGATATTTGTCACCAATTAATAATCTTACCACTTTTTATCCTTGGAGGTATCTTATTAATGAAAAAAAAAAAAAATGGTATTCCCATTAGTCTCATAATCCCCATGAATTCTCTTCTGAAGCCTTTCTCCCCCACCAGCCTTGCAAGAATGTGAAAATTCTTTATAAATAGTATTAAGACTTGTTGACCTTCCTTATCAGCTCTATCCTTGTACTGTGGGTTCTAATTAGGTTAATTACATTTCTTCAGATACAACTCTGTGGGTGTGGGTGTAATCTAGGAGTAACCTTGGCAGGTAGTTTCTTGTCTTGCTGAGTAAAAGGCTTCTTGGAAACACAAAAATTTGCTAAAAACTTGTCACAGAGACTTTGTTTTCCCTCTGACGGCTCTCTGGCAGTCCTTGATATTCCCATCAGAAAGAACAGGAAGATTGATGGCCTTGTTCTGTAGCTGTTACAGTTTAAGGACAGACAAGACTTAAGAGCATGTGGTACACAGCTGGAAAAACAATCACATTAAGTTCTTGGCACACAAACCTGCTTCAGGCCCAAAATAAAGGCAGAAGTCACCAACATGATGTACATTTGGCAGCTGCTCCAATTTAATGTGCATTGAACTGGGAGAGGTTAGAAACTCAGGTCTGTTCCAGGAGCTTTGACTCCTCCTCTGTGTTCCTCTCCCACACTCCAGGGATGTCCTTTCCCCTTGCAGGGACATGATGGCTGACAGGCAGCTTAGGAACCCCCAAGTGCCCTCCTCACCTGGTATTTGCCTTGGATGTTTCCTGCTGCTTTCCAGAACCTGAAGAAGGGCTTGTGTAAAAGTTCTTCCCCCTGCACCCATCCAAGGAGGTCTCCTCCCACTGCCATCCTATGATCCTGCCTGGAACCTCCAGGCTTGGGTCTGCCACGGCATGACTGGCTCCATCCCTATCCCCTCCCCTGTCCTTGGAAAGCGAGAGGACACTTGCAGCCCCATCCAGGAGGTGGCTGTGCCAGGGATTCCCTGGAGCTCTGGGCATGAGCAGCTTCAGGCTTCCCTCCCTCTCCTTCTCCCCACAACAGCCACCTTCCCAGGAGAGCAACCCCACATATCTTACTCTGCCCCCATCCCCTGTGCCCTCCTCTAACTCCTCCCCCCAAACCAGGACCCTCAGAGAAAAAAAAACAGGCCAAGGCATTTTTTTTTCCTCCCCTAATAGCAAAATATATTTTAACTGCTGTAATACAGTAGATTATAAACAGCTCTTGTGCGTGACAGAACACGGTACAGGTTGTATCATGGAATGGCTGGGGCCAGGGCCAAGGCTGGGCTGTCCTCTGCCACCACCAGGGAAGGGGCACCATGGCTGGAGGCACCAGGAGAAGGGATGAGCCAAGGCTGGCTCAGAGGTTCCACAGGGAGCCAGCTCATCATCCTGATGTCACAGAGCACGTGGACTCCTCGAATCCACCATCCTTCCAGCCCATCTGCCTCTGGCAGTGGAAGCTCCAACAGTTCAGTTTCCCTTAGCAGGTTCAAGCAATCCATGCCATTCCATCCTGAAGAAATCTATCAGGATTTGCCCCAGCACACGCTGTATACTTGGACGGCTGCCACGGCAGAGCACACAGCTCAGAGGCAGGACTGCCTCACCCCTGGAGGCTGGAAGCCAAACACCCTGACAGAAAGGACCTGCTAGGCGTGAGGGCTCCACAGAGGTTCGGTCTTCCCAAGAAGAAACTGTTTTCTGCATGAAAACCAGGATGCACGTGCTGTATTAATACTGATTTTCGTGAGGTTACCGAGCAAGGAGCTGCAGCTGTACTGGCTGCCATTCCAAAGCTGGAGACTTCCCACCTTGTAAGTGAGTTACCATGGAAGCAAGCTGCACAGTCCTTGTGTTGGAAAGAACCACAGGAAACAGTAGATATTATATGAAGTACTTGTAAAGGGCAGGTGGGAACCTTCACATCCTCCTTGCTGACCAGAACACTGCACTGCTAGGTCTGGCACTCACAGCCTAAGAAAACTCCAACGTGGTATCATCAACTCTAATTAAATGAGCCATGTGCAAAAGACTTAGTATTTCCCCTCCAGCACTTTTAAGAAAAATGAAAATAAGCCCACATTCAGAAGCAATTATAAAAACCCACAGAATTGAAAGTAATCCAAATTGTTAATGCCCTGACAGCATGATTGCCAGATACCTTGATCTACAAGGCTAAAAACCTCAACTTCTCAAAAACTAAGACTAGTTCCAACAGCTGAGCACCCCTTTCTGGCTGCCTTTTCCTTGCCAGATGCTCAAGCCCTGAGGCTTCAAACAGTGAGGATGCTGACACAGTAAATGCTGATGTTCCTTTTGGGCATTCAGCACCGCCAGCCGTGAGGGAAACACCAAAACTGGGCACAAAGTGAGCCACCACCAGGGTTTGGTCTCCTTTTGAGAACACTGAGACAACACCAAGACCTGACACAGGCAAGAAGACAACAAGCCAAGTCCCTAATCCATCACACCCCCTTTGAGTGCAGTTACATCTGTAAGTGTTTTGAGCACCAAATGAAAAAGAACTGGACAGAGTTTCATCCTATGCCGAGGAGGTGACAAAGCTGTTTGGCCAAAGCATGGGGGTTTGTCTGGTTTTTTTCAATAAGGAAGCTTAGTTGTTCCAGAACCTCTTTCCTCCCACAAAAGGTATGGTGAAAGATTTAGGATTGCTCAAACTGAACCAGGATAAAGTAATGCATTTAATTCTCATGATTTTATAAGCTAATACTGCCAAATTTGAGTATTATATGTGAAACTCTTCCTCTGAAATTACCTCAATCGTTTCAACAAGCAATTTCTAGCAGGAGATATTTTCAGAGGAGAGCCACACACACAAACACTGTATTTGGCAAATTTGCCCAGACACAACACCCTTTCTCAAGAGCAGGACTCCTTACTGAAAACTGAACACCTGGAAGAGTTTAGTTGCTCCCAAGAAATTCCTTCTGACTTCACCGAAGTCAAGGCACCTCCACCAGTTGACCCTCATTCCCCAGCAGCATTAGAAGCTGCTGCAACGCAGGTGGGCAAGTGGCACCAAGGTGCTGAGCTGCACGTGGCCAAACAAGATTGTGCCATGTATCTGTAATGTTGATCCTATTTTCTTACAGTTGGCTTGTAGTATTTCAAGTCTTTCTTAGTAAAGATACCCTCAACAACCGTGTATACCTTAAAGCACCTGCCAAATTGAAGTAAAATCTCTTTTACAAGTTAATCATGTTAAAAGAATTGATTACCTAGAGCAGGAGAAAGGAAGAGCAAGAAGAAAACCGATTCCTTGAGTCACAAGGGCCTTCAGAGAACAAAAATGCTGTAAGACAGTTGGGAACTAAATGAATGAAGATAAAACACAAGTTTTCAGAGTAAAAAGTCATGTAAAGACTGCACACACCATGCCCTGCTTCCAAACCTGACTCTGCAAAGCAGCCACAAGCACACCGACAATCCCCTCTGCCCATTTTATATCTGTTGGCAGCCAGCGCACATGGAACACAGTTGAAAGCCAGCCAGGAATACTTTGGCTATCTTCAGAGCAAGAAGGCAAACACCCTGTTGCTCTTCCACTTGCCTGTGTCACAGTGCCAGGCAGGAACACGGAGAACAGAAGGTTTGTAGACATCCCGTTACCAAAAGGGAGAAAAAAAAAAAAACCTGCAGAGGGATGGCTAAGGAAGGTGGACGGATGCCAACAATGAGCTACCAGCAAATCTGACCAGCTTGCCTCTTGTTCCAGAAAAGCAGCAACTTGGGGGGACCCCTGGATGAGTAGGATTCCAGTAGACTCCACCTGCAGCTCGATGTTTTACTGGCATGGAAATGGCTCAAAGTGGGACAGCACGCAATAGATGCTGCCTATGAAGTCTGTTGCAAATCCAGGTCAACTGGTTTGCTCCAGCAACGTGTTTAAAAAAAAATTACAGTTTCTCCCCAATAATCAGGAGGCACAACTTCCCTTAGAAAAAGTCTGTAGTGAGTTAGATCATTGGTCCAAATACTTGGAGGACAGCTCTGTTTTTCTGTGACGACACAGCCAGAGGACACCACCTTCACATCTTCGTGTGACACGACCACGAGCGTGGCTTTAAATAGTCCAGGAACGTGGGCTGCAAAACACGGAGAGGCAGGGAGTTAGTCACGGGCCCACAGCACCAGCTGTGCTGTGAGCCCCTGAAGTCAAACTCGCCTAGCAGGAAAGATCAGACCACATTTCTACACCCTGCAGCCCTGTTCTAACCCTTGCTAAGCAGTGCCTGGAAGTGCAGCTACAGCCACAAGTCCTCGTGCATCGGATAAACGCTGTGTCCAGCAGCACGTTGTACCAGGAAGCCAAGTAATTTACAATGGCAAACTCTTAACTGAGGTGAATCAAACTTAAAATAGCGGTTGCCTGAGGATCCCTTTGGTTAAAACTGAAAATGAGCTAGTACAGCAGGATGTTTTATGTAGAACAGAGTCTGGTACCCAAGAAAAGGAGTTATAAGTCGGAGAAAACACCCCAACAAAACCCCAAACGGACCATTTACAGGCAACCGTTTCTCACTGCCACCCACTCCAGCCTGGCAGAGGCACAACAGGCACAGATTCTGTGGGCCTCCCATGAAAGTTTTTCCTGACCTCCATCCCCACAGCCTAAATGAGGTTTAGCATAGTGGTTTGTATCCACAGAACTGTGGGAAAACCACCCTCAGTTTCAAGCAGTGAAATACAACCAGCGCAGAAAGAGCACTGCTGAAAGCACTTCTGTGAGGGAGCCTGCAGACTGAATAGCTCCTACTGCCAAAAAGCCTCGTGCCTTGTAACTTCTGCCATTGCCCACAGCAAGGCAGGGCCAGCCCCTGGTTATCCCCCAGGGAAGGGGGGTCACTCACGTTTTCCGTGGGGCAGTACTGGCGTGCGTACCACTCCTGGCTGTAGAGGCAGATGATGACCCCTTGGCCTAGGAAGAGGGAAGTCCACATGATCACATTCCAGATGGGCCCTTTCCGACGGTCGTTGAGGGTGAAGTTGAAGACCACTGGAAAGAGGCGAAACCAGAAGCATCGTCCAGAGGCAAACTCAAAACCAAAGATCAACCGATTTCACTGCACCTTCCCCTCCCTTCGTCTTCTCACTTCACCTCTGGAGCAACAAGGCCACTCCACGAGGTCAGTGTAGTGCAAGAAAATCTGATTATGCTTAGTCATAGAGCAGCTACTATTGTTTGCCAAAAAAAGTGGCCCACCTTGAGCCTCTGGGGGATCAGTATCTCTGCTACCCTGGTGACAAGACACGGCAGAGGTGGCCTAGAGATTATTGGAGCCCTCCAACTCAAAACCCAAAATGAAATGCAAGAGCTCTAACTTCTAAGGAGGCTCTTCCTCAGTGTAGTAGCAGAGTAATACCTGTCTTACGCTAGGACTTTGAAGAGGAAGACCTACAGCAACTCAGCTGCAGCTTGGCAAAGAGGAAGCAGTGCTATTAAATTATGTGCAGTCCTACAGGACCAGCAGTATATCATATATCTCTTCCTCTTCACCAATATCTTGTTCTTCTAAGTCCCAAACTTCAGAATCCTCTGTGTGCATACAGATAAATATCTACTGAGCCAGAGTCACAAAACTTGGACTCACAGTTGAAATCCTGGGACAAGAAACAGTGTGGTAGTGCCTAAAGAGCGACTGGATCACTATCAGAAGGGCAAAACATGCTTTAAAAAAAGACCCCACAGCTCACTCCCATACTCTGTTCCTTGGCCACTTACCTCCAAAGCAGGTAAACAGGCAGAAGAGAACCGGATAGAAGAAGCCAAAGCAGATGCTCAGGACGTACTCGTGCACAACAGCTGACACAGTGAAGACAGACAGCATAGCTGCTGCTCTGAACTTCTTCCCAAAAAACTGCAAGAGGGGAGGATACCAAGTATTAGGAGCTACTCTGATGTGGGTTATGTCTGTTTGTTGCAACATTTATTTTTTTTTTTCCTGAGCTGAGAAGGGCCTCCTCCAGCCAAGAGGCACACATGACACGCTCAGTGCTTTACAGAGCACCTTGGGTTTAGGTGTTTTTCTTCAGGCATATTTCTGGTCTCCTGCACAGGTTCTCAGGTTGAGCCCACTCATGAAATATCTACCACAGCTCATCAAAACAGTGCAATGTGAGTTCTAGCTCTGAGTCAGTCCCTGCATTCCTACATCTCAGACCCACAGTTTGCACACATTAAGGACTTGGATATGAGCAATGCATCTGTCTAAAAAGCACCGTGAATACCCACAACAGCTGAGGTGAGACATTTTTGTGCTTCTAAACAGACAGGGATGCTGCAGTTTGACAAAGGTAGTTTTGCCCAGCAGTTAAATGTTTAATTAACAAAAGAACACATCTGCTTGTTACTCACCCAAAGGAAGTCCCTGTAGGCATAGTAATAGAGCCAGTCGTGTACTACCACGTTCCAGGTTCGGTAGTAGTTTGCATAGGATGTGGAATTCCACCAGTCCTGAAAGCACAGTTGAAAGACTATAAATCTAATTAAGTATAAACCATTCTACAGGGCTTTTCTAGGATATCATCAAATTGAAAAATACTGAACAGAATAATACCAAGCTAACATATCAATCTGGCTACGAAAAAACACTTTCCATCGCACTTTCAACACTCTACTTGGTATAATAAAGTTAGGTTTTATCACAAACTGCAGGTGATAAAAGAACAAAAACAGTGCTAGTGGATCTGCTGGGTAAGTCTGGTGGCTGGTTCTGTTTGTGCACAGGGTGTATCACCTTAAAGCAACTCGGACTGCCAAGCAGAAATCAAATCCCTTCTACAGCACAGCAACAAACTTGAGCTTTAACAGCACAAAAGCAAAATCCCATGGATGCTTTCTTTGCTAAAACAATCTTCAGTTTCCTCCTCTTTCCTTTCCATCAGGACAGTGACTTTTAGAAGCTTTATAAGCTCTAACTGCTGGTTCTTACCTTGTAGAACATCCTGTCTGCAAAGCGCAGCATCTCGGCAAACGCGTTGAGCCAACAGTGCAGGAACGCAAAGAACACCAGGAAAAGGATCAGTACACCTGGAGACAAGGGAGATGCAGACTGGTTCTGTAGTGTTTGCTCTCAGCTACAAGCAAGAGCACGTAGCACAGTCGAGGCTGTTCTTACAGGCTCTGGCACACATGAGATTTACAGGTTTGTGAAGGTAGCATGAAAGTGTTCCAGTTTCTCACCACACCAGGCCATGTTTAACCCAGGGAGCAACAGCAGGGCTGCCTCAGAGCCCACAGCTTCACTTTGGAGTCATTTTAATTCAAACCCCAGCATTTATTTTGTGCTGCTGATTTGATTCTGAAGTTTAACACTGTAATCTGCCTGAAATCTGTCCACGAGACCTCCTTTGCTGATCTCTGCCTGCCATGAATACAGCTCATATGAAACACTTCTCCCTCTCACAAAGGTAACAGTCACTAGTGGATCCAGGCCTTACCTGGCAGAATGGAGTTGAAGATGCACAGGACCAGCCCTCGAAGATTGAAGGTTTCTTGGCTACTGTTGCGAAACTGAGGAATGCAGAGTCTCACAAAGATGTAGTAGGCATAGAAAAGTGAACCAAGCACCTGGAACAAAAGTACCCAAAAGTCTAACTTCAGAAGAGAAATACACAATTAACACATCGCCACTCGCCAGCTCCAGGAGAGAACAGCAGCTGCCAACACGAGCCAAAATAATTTATATTATGTTGCTGCCAAAAAAACTCCCTAAGGATCCAGGCACAAAGTAAGCCACAGCAATCCCAGTAGCTCACTGACAGCCAGCAGCAAAATCAACTTGTCTTTTCTACTCCAGCAGCTGTCAGTTCATCCCAGTCCTATCAACTCACGAGCTATGACACAAAAGATATGTGCCAATGCCAGAGTGAGGGAAGCAGCCTGTGATCTAGGCCCAAGAAAAGGGCAAAAATAACTGAAAAATACTTACTGTACTTAAATCTAATATTAAATCTTACTTTTCTTTCATCCTAAAGGACGTGTTTACAGGGTAAACCACCTCAGGCTTTCTCTGGCTCACGAACCCACATTCTGGATGCTGAGGTCAACATGCAAGTCAGGGTTTAACTGCTCTGCTGGAAGACAGGTGTGTGCTCTGTCACCCTCTTTAGTCCAAGGGCAAAGCAGCCAAAGGTCTGTCTGTGCTGCCTTTTTTTTTTTTTCCTACTTTCTTTTGCTTTTTAAACCATGAACACATTTTGTGACAGGAAAGGTTTCAGTCACACCAATCCATTGCTTGGAAACACATCCACAAGAAGCTTTTGAAGCTCATGGCCACAAATGCAAAGAACCAGTCAATCTCAAGCTCAAATAAGCACTGGAGATTTGGACTCCAGGCCTCATTATTTCAAAATTGCTCTGAGTATCTGCAGGGAGGCAGCTGTGCCGGTGCACTACAATCAGGGTAAAGAAAGAAGGCCAGTGCATGGGTATTGCTCTACACACACACACAGAGCTTTTTTTATCTGGAATGGAGTCTAAAGGCTTGTTTAACTAAAGACTTTTAAGTTCTTTTCTTTCTTTGACACAACCATTAGTGCACCAAGACCACAGGTTCTTTTTTAGTCACCAGAAGGTATTCTTTTCTGGTCAGCCCACAGCAAGTAAAGAGTGATTTAATGCCAAAGGGAGAGCTGTTGAACCACACAGCTCAGATGATCTCCAAGAGTGCACTCTGCAGAAAGCTGCACTACTCACCTGTGCAAACTTGGTGGCTACGTAGCCCCATCTTATCGTGGGATTCCTGGGAAAAAGAACACATGATACCACAGCTAAATAGGAGCTCAAAGCAGCAAACTCCTCCCTTTCAACTACTGATTTTACTGACCTACTGTCTGAAAAAAAAGCGGGTTTTGAATTCCACAAGTCTTAATCTGACATCTAAGGGGATATCTGCCCAAACTGCTGGTTCCTCGCTTTCAATTCCAGCAATTCCATAAATGGAAAGGTATCTGGAGGGCAGTGCTGTGCAGTTATGTGGCAGGGGGGGATCTGCCCAACAGTCACGTAAAGGACTGCTGACTTCACACTGCCAAAGAGCAACCAGCAGGGTACAGAAAAGTTTAGGAGTTCCCACTTCTAAAGGCTTCAGCCTCTCCCCTCAAACTGGAGTCAGGGCTGCTTATTAGCACCACATAAACCACACAGGCCTGTTGCAGGAACTGTCCATCACTAGATAATCTGTAGCAAGATCTTTATTTGCTTCATTTCAAGTGCGTTTCCCAAGGAAATAAAAGCAGAACTGTAAAGTCGAAATACTATGAGCATTAGAGTGAGTTTCCAGGAGCAAGCCCTGCCCTTGCCAGGTTACTGGCTTTACCACATCTTTGTGAAAGCTCTCACTCATTAATTGATCACACCCAGGGATGCTTAATGTTGGCTTCAGTTTTCAGACTACTGTCATGTTCTGTTGTTGCTCACATTACCTGGGATAGTTGTCTCTGTAGATGAGGGTGGGAGCAAAGAGGAAGTACAGGTACTGAGAGATTCTGGGAACAGGTACTGTGCCTGGGCAGAGGGGGGAATAAAAATCAAAAAGAACACTCTGCAATCTTTTTGCCTATTGACAGTTCAGTTTGCCCAGTACCATTTCCCAACACAGAACCCCTATCACCTCAGAAACCACAGTCTGGAACTGCAGGGATGGGACTTGCAGAGAATAAAACAAAGGAGACCTTTGAGATGGAGCCTCCCCACCGTGAAGCCCAGTTAACAAGTGAGGGTAACCGACTAACCAGCTGTTAACACCTTGGCATCACATGGCCTTTCTTCCTAGGGAAGATGAAGCTGCAAGGCCTGTATCAACACACAGGTTCAGTTCAGCTCTAGCATGTCTTGCTTAAAGAGCTTCTATTCTACAACTGCTGCCATTTCAACTGGAACACTGAGCTGGAGGTGGGCTGGCAGCCTCCAAACACTTTTTGCTCCTAAAAGCAGGAATAGGGAGTCTACAGAACAAAGACTTCAGATCCAGAGATGACTTAGATCTGAACAACAGTCAAGCTCATTGCCTAACACCAAATGAAAAGGTTCAGGCTGAAATTACGATGCAGAGCCCTTTGACCTCCCCACCCCACGTCACCTATTCAAATCCCACCTCTCCAGCTCATGAGGGCAGCTCAAAGTAACGGAGGGGAAATTAGAGCTGGCTGTGCCCTGCTGTAAAATGAGGTAGGGCAAGGTACTCACTGGACTTGTCCTTCACAGAGGACAGGACTCTGGGCACATTCTCCCGGATGAAGGAATAAGCCTTCATAACGAGACGGACCTGCAAGGCCAAGAGATCAGCAGCTTAATTAATACTCTCACTTTCCAATAGAGACTGGATCAAACATTTTACAGCAACACCTTCAATGCCTTTTTCTCCAATTAACTCCTTCTAGAAGGAGTAGAGTTACTTCCTCCACCCACAAGCCTGTTTTAACTGATACGGATTTAAAACTCTGCAAAGTGAAACTTGAAATAACAATCACAGCTCAGGAGAGTCAAAACATCTCATTTACACTCACAGGATCACCACATACACAAGGACCCTGAATAACACCAGCAAGTCACTAACCAGCTAATATTAACTTTAAATTGAAGGGAACCCCCCCATCCCATTTCAGTAGGCCAGGATGTTTCAATGTCTTGAAAATAAATCCTTGAAGATGTGTTGTACAGCAATTACCACTACCTGGGGATAAGGTGGTGCCACATGTAAATTGTGCACAGCTGCAGAGCAGAGGTTTTTTTTTATTTTGCTTTAACACTGAAGAGCCAAAAGGAGGGCCCGTCCAAGGTTAATACTAAAAGCTACACTCATCTCTGACCATCCTTGTTTTAACCAGACCACTTTTGTACTCTTCCCCTGCTCCCCCCTGCCAAAAAACCAAAAAGTTCCATTTTCAAAAAAGTTCTGACTGCAGAACAAAGACACTTGTTTCTTGGGAACAGAAATGGAAACAGGAACCACTTGACAACTGCGTTCTTGCTTTTTTGGGGTTTTGTTTTTTTTTTTAAAGAGGAATGTTACAGCTTCCTTGTGAACTATGGCACAACATGTTCTTAAAATTTGTTTTAAGCATTTAGCATCCTCAAGACAACTAGAAATAAATGGAATTTCAGCCCTGAAGTATGAAAAAAAAAAAAAAAAAACACCACAGTGAAATGTTAAATAGAGAGTAAAAACCCACAAGTGGTGTCCAGGACAATTCCTTTAGGGAAAAGGACCCTTTCCATTGTGAAAATGAAGTTCAGCATATCCAAAGATGCAGGGGAGGGCCTTACCTGCTCCAGTATGACAATGAAACGGGAAGCTGGAGGCAGGGCATAGGCTACAGCAACATAGGTTGGCCCAAAGCCAAGTCCAGCTATTTGGAAGAGCGTGAACAACATCCCGTAGAAGAACGAGCGGATGGCACGACGGGAGGAACTGCAGTAGCCCTGGGCCCACCACACGAAAAGGTTGTATGGAATGACGACTGTGGCACTGAACATGCACAGCCAAGTGCAGAAGACAACGGGGAACTTCCCAAAAACAAAGACCAGGAGATCAAACCCAAGGACCAGCCTAGAAGGCACAAGGAGAGAGACAATATTCAGTGTCCATTGTTTAATTAGAAATACTCTCAGTCCACCAAGTGGCTACAAACACAAAGCTTCCAGACCATAATTGTTTGACAGCTGGGATGGAAGTGACCATGGCAATAGCAAGCCATGGTCACTTTAACCCCATTAATTAACCCCCCAGGGCTTAATTAAGCACAACTTTAAGATCAGCATGTGCTTTAAGAATATGCTCAAGCTCATCCCTGCTAAGAACAAGCACGTGACTAAAGGATCCAGTGCTGAACCAGGGTCCAAAAGAGCTTTTGGGGAACACTCCCAGGACGTGGCCACTGAGAATCAGTTCTTCCCAGGAGTTTAAACACCTAAAGAGGCTTTTTCCCCACCTCTACAGGCATAGGGTATATTAACATGCACCACTCAAATCTAGTTTAATCCTGCTTCGTGAGATCTGTGGGCATTCCATATGGATTCAGTTTAGAAGTCACCCAAAAGGCTCAGGGTCATTAGATGGTCAGTCCAAATATGTCCAACAGTTGTGCACCAGGTACTTGAGTCCTTTAATCAAGCTTGATACGTAAGGACAAAAACAAAAAGATGTTCAACTTGACTGGCTATCACAGTGACCAGAGCTGACTCCTGCAGTAAGCAGCTCTTCTAAACTAAGATCAGAGGAGATGATAGCACAGAATACACCAACAAAAAGTATTTGTTCTCATGTGGAAGATCAACAGCAAACTGAATCCAAATGATCAGATCAAAGCCACAGCAATTAGTTTTTAATTTTTTTTTTTAAGTAATCAGGGCTTTTAGAGGTAAATACTGGTTGATTTTAGAGGTAAATAACAATTCTCCCCAGTGTCCATACACTAATAAGTTAGGATCAGCTTAACATTCAATGGCACACGAGTCTGTTCTTATACCCAGACAAGGGGGACGGTGATTATAACCAAGATACAGCTCTGGTTTTGTACACCAAAGAGCAGATAATCAGCGAGATAAACATGCAATCCTCCTTGTTTACATGAGATAGAGCTTGCCAAAACATTATTTAAGCAACAAGCAAGTGTGAGGAAAGCAGTCTTTCACAATTTTTTTCACAACCGGCTACCTGCGAAGCACTGTCTTAGCAGAGGCTGTGCCAGCATCCTTGAGATTTTTCCCCAGGAAAAACAAAGTTCTATTTTTACTTGAGCACAAGTACAGCGTTCCAGAGCTGTCATTTTTCAACAGAGGAAGGACTGCTGAAGTATTAAAAGTTTTTCTAAACAGAGTCCTTCTTCAAGCAACACAAGCAGCTGAAAGCCACCTTCTCATTAGAGATGTTCAGCTAAAGTAGTCCATGTTCTCTTTTGCCAGCCTTGTGATGAACTAAGCACGTCAGGCCAACCTGTGCTGGCCACAATTCTCATGTAGGACATCAATTTGTGGTATTTTCCTAATATCCAGCTATCCAGTTTGAAATGATCCTATCCCCTCAACGGGAATTCCAGCATACATTCTATGTCAAGTTGAAATCAAGGAAGGATTGATTCCCCCTTCTTTCTGCACCATTCTGCAGCTTCCTGTACCTCTGGAAGCATTTCCCAACCCTTGTCCCTGTGTTTTCCAAAGCATTCCTACCTTCCTTCATCAATGAAGTCTACTAGAAGCGTACTGAGGATGAAGACGATGAGGAGAGCGATGAACATGTGGTAGATTGTCCTGATGTGACTCACTTCAAACAGCTCGCTGAGGGAGAGACGAAAATTAACGTACAAATTGGGTGCCAGCCCTCAGTTTATCCTCAGACAAAGGATAATTAGCCATTATCCCAGTGGGACTGAGAGGGCTGTAATTAAGGGTTACATTTGGGGAAGCCTGCAAGCTGCAGTACAGATGTTTTAGGAAGAAACAGAGAGGCTTGAGCAGATTAATCCACACGGGATTGAACGGAAGGCTGTGGGTGGTGGTGGGGAAAGTACCCCAAAGCAAAGGCTCTTTAATTTGCTATCAAAGGTATTTTCAGTCAATTTGATGGAAAATGTGAAGTTAGGTTACTCACTCCAAGAGGGACCTCCTGGCAGTAAAGACCTTCCCGTGTTCTGGAGGGGCCCTCGAGTTCCTGCAAAAAAAAAAAAAAAAAAAAAAAAAAAAAAGAAAAAAAAGAAAAAAAGAAGAACATTTGAGATAAAAAGGGAAATAAAGCTTCCAGAACACATAACCTTGTTATAGGAGCAGTTAAAACTGGCTTACTTGGCTTTGTGCAATTCCTTCTCTGAGCAGGAAGCTGGGAAGAGGGAGGCTGGAGATGAGGAATCCAGGAGCGCCGATTTTGCCACCAAGCTGTTCACAAACTCCGTGAAGTGACTGTCCACCTCCTTCATGAAAGCTGGCTTCAGTTGCTGCCAGAGTGAAAACACAGCACGAAATTGTTTAACTTGCTGGATACATTTTCCTACAATATTTATATTCCCACTTACTCCGGAGCAGGACAGAGCAAGGCATCAAGAAAACGTTCCTGCCAACAGATCAGGGGCTCATCCTGGTCTGTTCACACACCTCAGGACTTGGAATAACATTTCTGTTTCTCTATCAGATGCACCACAGAGAAACAAAGCAAACATATTGATCTTCATACACATGTCTGCAGGGGCAGGTGTTTCTCCTATTTTAAAGTGTCAACTTAAAACCTGAGTCCCAGAAAACATTCCTCAGTTTTAACCACGTGTACATCCTTAGTGTCCAAAACTGGGAACCAACAAGTTCAAGAATTCGTGGGATGAAATATCCCAGTTCCATCCCCTGCACTCCCTTTTCTTCTCACAGCTTTATACAGGTTGTCTTCTCTATTAAAAGCCAGTTATGTCACAGCTGCACCATTTATAGCCTATTCATATTCTTCATCTCTCATTTTAACAGACAAAGGCAACTTCTGAAGTAGCTGGTTCACCAGAGACTTTGGCTTCTCCAGGTGCATGAAAAACCACAGATAAGCATCTCCTTTACCAACTTTTTGGCAAAATGCACTGATACAGTGCAAAAAAAAAAAAAAAAATTAAAGGAGCTAATCAGCTGTGGATAAAGCACAGGCCACTCTGGTCAAAGCCTGCTCTCTTCACCTGATAAGGAGTTTCATTTCTAGAAAGAAAAACATTATTTAACCCTCCAAGTAACAGGTTATACAGACAAGGGCTATAATTCCTCTTCAAAAGGCAGATTGAAAAATGCCAAGATGTTTTCATATCCCTTTTGTCCCGCCTGAATCTAGTATGTGTAATTAATTCCTGTATTTTCCTGTCTGCAGTATAGTCCAATCTGCTATCCAGTCTCATAATATGAACTTTTAAAGACCTGACCTCCCAAACCCCAAGCAGTTTTTTTAAAACTTGATGCATTTAGGAGAAAATTAAGGATAAAATGTTCTGAGTTACTTATTTCTACACAAAGTGCTGCACTGAGCTCTGGATTGCTTTGTTGTGGTCCAAATTCTCTTATTACATGCAGAGAGGACCCTGAGATTTGCAAAGTGGTTTAAGAGTTATGACTTATTTCAAACATAATTTGCATATTGTGTGGGGTTTCCTTTATGCAAGTGTCCAATAGCCACATTTATCTGACCATCCTTTGCCTGGGATTTTTCCACTTTGCCTCCAGATTCAAGGGCCAAGTCTTCCTACATGATAATTATGTATTATTTCATCTCGTTTTCTCACTGTTCAGCTGCCTAAAGAAACACTTGTGTTTCTCTGACCACCTTCAGAACTCCCCACTCCCATCTACTTTCTCATAAGGTTGAAAAGTAAAGTTTCTGGAGAAGAGAAGCTCTAGGGAGACTTCAGGGCAAATCTTCCAGGATCTGAAGCAGCTACAGGGAAGCCAGAGAGGGAATCTTCCTCAGGAACTGCAGTGACAGGACAGCAGGAAATGGGTACAAATTGAAAGAAGGGAAATTTAGGTTAGACAGCAGGAAGAAGTTCTTCCCTGGGAGGGTGTTGAGACACTGGCACAGAATGATTGTGGCTGCCCCATCCCTGGAAGTGTTCAAGGCCAGGCTGGATGGGGCTTGGAGCAACCTGGGAGCAACCTGGGATAGTGAGAGGTGTCCTTGCCCAGGGCAGGGGGACTGAACAAGATGGTCTTTAAGGTCCCTTCCAACCCAAACCATTCCATAATTCTATAAGATACACAAACAGTTGATGTATTCTTACAAAATCCTCCTGTCTAATGCAACAACAGCCAAGAAAGCAAGTTTAACTCTCTGGCAGAAAGCAGGACAATCTGAAGTAAGCCCACCCCAAACCAGGAGACCCTGAAGTGAAGGTGGATCTGAACTCTCCCCATTCCTCCTCTTCCATGGTAGTCAGATCCAGAGAGATCTCTTGAAACAAAAGGTGCAGTAGGAGAAGGAGCAGATTTATATTTAACTTCAAAAAACATGTTTCCCCTATTTGGCAGCTTCCAGTATAGAATAAATAAGCTTCACCAGTGCTCAACGAAACAGAAGCTCTTAGAGTGTGGCTGCTCTTAGATATTGCTTTTCTGGGAGGCAGAGGGTTGTCTCTGCAAGAGATATGGATTTGTTCCTTTACAAACAGGAGGAAAAACCCCAAATATTGAGTACTTGGGAATACAACCTGTTAACAGAAGCCACTTGTGCTCTCTAGTTTTACAGCACGCACGCACATACCCCCACCAAAAATGCCAAAGAGAAATTCCTGCTCTTCTTGGAGGGCTCAAATTTCTGTGCCAAACAAAGCACTATTCATTCCCAACAAAACAGTGTCTTTTTTTTTTTCTTCTTTACAGTGCCTCCACTTTTTTTTTCAGCCTAATCTCTTCTCAATGAGAGTTTAACGTGGTATTCCCCTGAAGAACCTCTTCCCCTTAGCTGGCACTCTGCTGGGATTGCCTCCTCAGGGCTGATACCAACACGTGCAGGTGTTTGGATTGGGAGAGCAGGGCATGAGTTCTCAATAGATTAAATAAAATACAGCCAGAGTAGAGACCCAAAAGTAACTGTAATTACAAACCAACAAGCACAAAAAGAATGCTGTGCCATAAAAAAGCAGAAGCTGGCCAGTAGTTGATGAGAAGTCAGAGAAAGTTGAGGGAAGTAACCCTGTGGTTTAGAGTTGCAACAGTTCCCCAGCATTTTACTCATTCTGACAGATTCAGTGATTTTGGTCACTGAGAGGTGACAAAACAGCCAGCCCTGACCCAAAGACAGAGCACACCATTTTTTAGGATGAGCAAAGGACTTCCAGACTGGACTGAAGGTGCCTGAAGGCCTCCTTAGGCAGAGTTCCAGCTCCTACAAATCCTATTTCTATCTGTGGAGTTGTCAGTGTCCGGGCTCTTCACAGGCCAAGCACCTGCCTAGACCTCAGACACCCATCCCAGGACAGATGAACTGCAATCCAAGCCTTTGTCCAGAGTTTGTCACACAACAAAAGGGCCTGGCACTCGAGCAATTCTCAGGTATTTTGCAGTAGGTGGGTTTTTTTCCTCAACCTTCTATCTATTACTGTAGCTTTGAGGCACCTTAAATAAAATCTACAAGCTGAACTCCCCGTGTTTTGGGACAAACTTCAGCAATTAAATATTTTATTTAAAGCACCTCTGACCTGCTGGTTTTTTTAGGATTCTCTTTGCAAATAAGAGATCGCTCTGTCTGCAGACTAGTGTGGCTCCAAACTTGTGACCAGGGGAAAAAAAAAAAGAAAAAAAGAATAAATAAATAAGGAACACTCCTGAAGAAAGAAATCCAAGACCAAGTTGTCCCCTTGCTCCCTGGAACTTTCAAAGCTTCGTGTGCTTAACAGTGCAAGTTTTCTCCTGCAGACATCCATTGCCAGCACAGTGATTAACAGTGGCTGTTTTGTCTGCAGAGAAAAGTTGTAAGGCTTGATCTCCCATGTCCTCAGTAAGGATAAACAGGAGAGCACGACGTACAAAATAAAATTCCAAGCTGATTATCCCTCTGATGGGTTGGATTTTAGGAGTTTCAGCACAAAAAGCACCCTCTGCAGACGACATTTAAATACTCTTCAGTTACACCTGTTATAAATTACCACCTATAGAGGTAGGAAAAAAAAAAGACTTTTAAACAGGAGAACATCTCAAAGGTGCAAGGTGTTTTTCTCTGTAAGTATCCACTCCCTACTATTCACAAAAAGCTGGAACAATGAGATTACTTCATCTTTACCACGGAATTCTCTGCAATAAAATGATGCAAGAGTGCAGGACGATTCGCCCTGAGGAACACGGGTGCCACAAAACAATGCTTAACAAGGAGGGTGCAGCTCATTGTTGGCCAACTTCATTTAATTTGGGCATAAATCACCTTAATATAATCTAAGACAATGGCAGCTCACACGGATGCAGATGACGTCAGAAACACCCAGTGCTATTTTCTTTAAGGATATTGTTCCCTGACAAAAAGAGTGAGAGCTTCCAAGGCTCAGCAAGGCCGTCTCCACAGCCAGGGCAACAGGAGCTGTGGGATACAGGCTCTGTGTTACCTAGCAGGGCACAGAGCATTCTAAATACGCAGGCAGGCTGGCTAATAATCACACTGCCAGAAGTTGGTGGCAAGGGAAGTTCCATTTTATTTACAGGTCTCAAAGTTCGTTCTTATCTCTGGACTTCAACCTGATGGGGTCAAGGAAGACAGAACCACATCTGATAAACATTCCCCCTCTTGTGCCAAGTGGGAGAGAGAAAGAGGGCTGTGGAAAAGTCACTGCACTCAAACTAGGACTGAACAGGGATATTTGTGCTCCTGGGTTAGTGACCCTACAAAAGACACCGGGGGTCAGTCATGCTGCTCCACCCCACAAGCAAGGATTATATTTACCTCAGCTTCTGCTATGAGCTGCATTTTCCTTGTTATCACGTGGTCGACATCAACACGGCCTGAGGAAGGAAGGCAAACATTTAACATTTGCAATTTTAGCCGCATGTCTGAAAACACAGAAAGCACAACATACAGTAGCTCAGACACCAACTTTTCAACAGTATTTCTGACTTCTAATAAGGTCCCACTAAGCTCAAATCAAAGCTGCAGGAACTTCCTAAGCTACGACCAAGTGTTTTAGGATCCCAGAACTGTCAGGCAGTCAACAGCTGATAACATTTGAAAGCTTTATTTTCCATCAGCAACGCTGCAAATCTTCCCAAGGTCCCTAAACACATTCAGCCTTGAAGCAGCAATCAGAGCAACCCTTAGAAGGCCATATCCAAGTGTGCTGATCTTTTATCAGAGCTTTATCTTACACCAGACTAAGGTTAGTTTGTCTGGAGGTCTCCACGTGGCCAACAGACAAGGCAGTCAAGGCACGGCTATCAGTGAAATACTGTGATCAGCTCTAAGACAGCCTGAATGGTAAGTCAGAAGATTATTCTGGATATTCCCACTCCCTTCATCCCCCAGGAAAAGTGTTGGGTATTGGTATGACTGTATTCCTCAATGTTTCACCCCTTAAGCAAACAGTCTGGTCTTATGTGCCATCAGTGTCACCTGACTGTTATCATCACTACTATGGGTAAAGCCTCAAATACCACTTTTCTTTGGCAAAAAGAACTATACCCATCTGAGATGCCTCTATTACATCAAGAGGAACAACTCCCACAGATCAGACATTTCGGACCAGTCGGGGTTTAGGGCCAGCACCAGCTGGTGTTTCCCTTCTCCAGTGAGAACAACACAGAAGATATAAAGTTACTTAAAACAGAGTCTTGCACGTGGAGGAAAAGCAAGACTAAAGCAGCAGTTTCCAACCCCCTAAAATACTACTCAGGGTGAAAAGATTGCAACAAAGCTCGCCTTGTGCATATCCTTTGGCAATTATAGCTACAGCACCACCTCACACACGGACACACAGCCGGGATTACAGCTTGTTTCTAAGACAACATTCCCACTTCTAGAAAAAGAAGTTACTGAACTGATTCCCTAGTAAGATTCCAGGGAAGCCCGAGCTAACAGATTTGCTGAAGGGGTGCTGAAGTTGTGCTGCTGTGTGGCAGGGAGACAGATTCATGCACTGTCACAGTGCCTAATGTGGCCTCCTTGTCTTGATCTCCTGGTGTGGGCACAGCCCCTGCACGCAAAATGCAGCTCTATTTTCATTGACACAAGCGCTTCTGTGATGCTCACCATTCGCAGGGTGCTCTTCTGAGCAACTGTTTTGAGCAACTCTGAGCTTGTAAGTGGTTTGGGTAGACCTGCTTCAGAAACGACCCAATACTCCAATACTGGAGAAGAGCTAAGCAAAACAAGAAGCTTTACCCTCATGCAGCTGTGCTCAGTTGTTAACGTTAATTCCCATTCCCAGCAATCAGGCAGGAAAACTGTTTTTTCTCTATAAAAAGTACTACACAAGATATAGTCTAAAGAACAACAACAACTGCCCGTTACTTAGCAGCCCTCTAATGTAACAACAAACAAGGAAACTGCTTAACACCACGAATTTTGGCTGCATGCAAAGATATATTTTTCCAAAAATAGAATTCCCAGTTGCTAAGCATCTCTACCTTCCAGACAAAAAAAAAAAATTATCTCAGCACTTAAACTCATCGTGCTGTTACACTTACTGAACAACAGCAGTGTGGAAAACAAACTGAGAGAAATTTCAGATACCCTTGACCCACTTAGTTCCTGCGCTTTGCTGGTCTTAAATGGATTCACACCCAATAAATTTAAAAATGGAAAGAAAATTAAAAAATCAAGTTGTTCCATGAACAGCAGAACTGTATCCCCTCCACATCATCTCAGTGACTCTACTCTCTCACCATGTCACTCCACAATTGTATTCTAAGTCCTCTCCTCCCTTTACTCCTGTGTGAAGAACCAGCTCCTGCTGACCTGCTAGATCAGACAGAGCTGCTGAGTTTAATGAACCTTTCCCTGCAAAAAGTTAAGAATTTGTGTCTCTTATCCAGCTCCAATTCTCAAGACTTTTGTCAAGTTTTCTTGAAGCCACCCAACATGGCCAAAGAGGATGTGTGAGACTTAAGGGGTTGCACTGTTTCCTTTGTAAGCTAAGCTAAAAATAAAACAACCACTGCTTTGGCCATATATTTCCTGCCAGATCTTGCATTTGAAGCCTCAGTTATTAAAACTACCCAGGCATAGTATTTGTTAATAAAATACCCTTTTTGACTTACAAGGCCTTAAAGATGGATGGAGTTTCACCTATATCAAATGTACAGCTTTAGTGGTCGCACAGGGAACAAGGTCAGTCTCTGACCTGTTGATGCTGTAACAGCTAAACTGTGTGCAGTGTCCCTCCTAACACTTCATTTAACCACAGAATAGACTAGAAACACAGCATCTTTTAAAAGGGTTTGAAATCAAGATGTGTCTTCAGTATAAGCATCTCATATAACAAAGTAAAATTCCTCATGAGCTTGTCACATCTTTCCCAGAATAAGATCTCCCCTAGAAGAAAACCAACTCCAGACCAACTCATTCTGCTGAGTTGTACTGCCCCATAAACTCAAGTGTGTCACAAGGCAGATACCAGAGAACATACAAACTCATCATCTTTAATTACTCAGCCTCTGTTGTGCAAGCTGCCACTCATCTTCTGTGAGGTCACTGGAGAAGAGATTCATCACATGATTTTCAGCCTAAAAGGAAATGTGCACTGCTAAAGAATCTACATCTTCACTTTCCTTTGACCCTGAAAACAAAGACTGGCTCTCTCTGTATCACTTTGGGACTGCAATAGCATTATAAAAATGGACTCAAGGCTGCACAGTACAAGCAAGCACATCTCTGCATTTGAAGCTGAGATGTGCCTTAAGAAAACAGGAAATATGTTTCAAGTGATAAAAATGTTGTCTTTGAAGACTAGGATAGAATCGTGGCCAATTCCACAGGACACTGAAACAGAGTTTGCTTTGGAAGAGCTCTGCTCACAGGGAGAAGCTTTCACAGCAGTTGTGTTGCCTTCCCACCAGCAAGGACATTAACAAGA